CCCTCCAATCATCGCCAGAGCAATTGACCTTCCAATACAATACAACGGACAATACAAAAATTATACAATTTACAATGTGCAAGGTAATAGCTTCAATGCGTGTCAGTTAAGCCACATGCATTAACCTCTGTCTACACTAAGTTTCCGAGGAGATAACGTGTCAGTCTCTTATTGGTTTTGTACACACCCCCACGCCCCATTAAATTTGTGCCCAGTTCGGGGACACAAACACCTATTCAATTATACAATTTATGTACAATATAATATCTCAATATGATATAATTATAAATGAGATGAATATCAGTGTAAAAGCTATAGTTATAACGATCCGATCCAAAAATGTGAGTACATGGATACTCATGTTCCATTTCAAATGAATTTATAAAAATGTAGTCATTTTATTAAATAAATTTTAACACTAATATTAAAATTTAATACGACACGGACTGGTCTGTGTCTTAACTGGTTCACTCCTCCTTGCTTGTTTTGAAGAGCACATAATTGGTTCTCGCAAGACCCTGGTTTATGGTTTTCTTAACCGTGGTTGAGTTTGTTCTAACCACGGTTAGATGGAAGTGACAGGCAAAAGCGGAGGTGTTCCGGCATTGGGTCCCTTTGTCGTTGCACAGCCCCGCAAAATCTGTGGGCCTAAAGCTATAAATCCCACTAAATTAATCTCATCTTGAGTTTTTTAATCATTTCTCTTACTAAATGTCGCTTTCAACCTCCCAGTACATACATGTCATCTCTATGCATACCTGCTTCATTCAGCAGTGATATACAATTAAACGCCAATCAACCATGGGGGTTCCATATAATTTAAATTAAATTAGGGTTAAATGAGTTGAGTTGAGCATTTAGAGCCTGTTTGTTTGTTTGTTTGGGGGGTTTTAAGAAAAATAGTTGATAGGTCTGTAATTTTGTGATTGATTAATATTTTTTAAATTTGTGATTCATATCTCAATTTATAACCGTGTGTTGATAATTATAATAAAATTCGTGAGTCTCACACGTGTATATCTTACTTACTAAATGTGGGCATGCAAATGATTCATATATAAATTCTATGTACACAACACATAGAAATTGAATTTAGAAAAATTTTGTAAAACCATCTCAATCCCTCATCCAAAAACCATCCAACACATGCTTTTAGAGTTTTAGCGTATTTAAGTTCAATTTTAGTTTGAACTCAATTATTGATATTACTTTTATTTAGGTTTAGCTGAATTTATTGATCACACATTACAATTTGATTCAACTCTATAAATTTTAATGTTATAAGATTAAGATTGAATTTGAATTCAAATTATTCCTAAATAACATACATATTGAAATTTGAACCTAAATTATTCTAATTAAAAATAACACATATTGTTGGCCAAGGAATTGCTATTTGTCAATATGAATAAAATCATAAATTGAATTGAGCTTAAACCCATCAACTTGCTTGAATTTGGTTAAATATACGAGTTTGGACTTTAAGGTGGTTGGTTTGAATCCCTTCGTCCTATTTTTTCTAATAGTATTCGATGGAAAAAAATATATATATTTGATTTATTTATTTTAACTCAAACAAATTGAACAAATATACTCGCATGCATCATGTATGCATGACGTGGGAGTGCGGTGGGGCTGATGTGGCATTGGCATACATGCCCATGCCAATTACATATTAAAAGAGGTGGAGGCAAGCGTGCAAAGTTAAAGTGGCAGCTAATGATGCTTGTGAGACCAAAAACAAATATGGCATACATAAACAATCATAATAAGGAGAGAGAGAGAGAAACAGAGAAAGAAGGGTAACGATGGAAAAGAAAAGTACTAATTAGGAGCGAGAAGAGAGAGAAACGTTGAGAGGGTGCGTAGGTTAAGTGTCCTGCTCACCACCCGGCAATGAAACTTCAAAGGCCGCTTTCTTGTCCCCCCATCACTGTTCCACCCCCTGTTTTCCTCTGTCCCCTCTACAATCTTTAATCCGCTCGTCTAATAAATACTCCTCCTCGCACCAACTCCTCTGTTTTTTCCCTTTTCACCCTTTAACTTTCTCCTTATTCCACCAGTTTCTATTAGTATTTAGGGTTCATCGAACTGTAATTTAATTTGATATGAATACAAATTTATTATTAATATATGATTTTTTTAATAAATTATTTAATTTAGAATTTGAATTTGTTGTTTCAAATTTTATAGATTTTGATTTTCATTTAGCATCAATTATAATTCTGTTCGAGTTTGATTTATTATTATGTATGTAATAAATTTAGTAATTATTTGATGAAATTAAATTAAAATTTAGTATAATTTTTTTAAATCAACTTTTATTAATCTATTCAAATCAAATGGAATTTTTGATTCTAATACTCAATTTTTAAGGAATTTGAACATGAATTATAAAAATAAAACTTGTTCAATAATTAATTTTAATTTTTTAAATTAAATTTAAATTCGAATAACCAAAATCCCATATAAATTTTGACCCCGGGGCTATAATCAACACAGAAGTTTATAGAATTATAGGAGTGGAAGTGGCATTATTATATTCCCACGTTGGCCCTTAATGGGACGAATTTGGACCCACCCGACGGCTGTAATTGGTGGAGCAGTTGAATTTGGTGTTTTTGGCTAAACAGGAATCTGGTAGGCTTCAATTTCCAATTATCAATTACTGCAAAAATGCAAGTATTTTCACTTTGCCTGCCCCTTTTATGTCCTGAAACTTAGAAGGGCCGCGGGTACTCAGGTGCATAGCAGCAAATCACCAAGGTTTACCGATTTAACCAAAGGCTTATCCTATTTTGTTCATTTTCGTACTATATTTTTTAAATCAATTAAAAATAAACTCATAAAATGATTCAAAATCACTTATAATTCATGATTAGATAATATAATAATGATTTATCTTATTTCTTATATTTGAAGGTTATATTTGTCATCTTAGAAAAAGAAGGGCATCTTCGTCATTTGACTAGAAAACCAGCGCATTATAGCTAAAACTGGAAAGCAACAACCAGAACTATCTTTACGAAACCTTTTCAATTTCATTGCGAAAAAAAAAGGAAAGAAAATAAATATTCTCCCATACCACGTGTACCGACAACAGAGTCTTAAATTTTCTTGATCAACGGCCTAGATTCCCCAATCTCCCTCGCGCATCCCATTCCTTGGCCAGATCAGCGCAGTAATGTAACTTATTTGGTCCGAATTCAGAGTCTAAAAACGACATGACTTTTTGCTCTAATTTCCCTTTTTGCCACTGTTCGCTTTTTTTTTCTTTTTTATTTTTCTCTCCCCCCAGCCTCGAGTTTCTCCGGCAAATAGTTCTAGCTTTTGATTACTTTCTGCTTAATGGAGGGACCTTAAAGCGCTCTCTCTCTCTCCCTCTCTCTCTCTCTCTCTCTCACTCCTTTTCGTTCCTCTGCGTCTTCCTGCTTTTTGCTAAGATTTTAAAGTACTAATCGATCTTCATATTCTCTGCAATTGATAAGCTACACTTGTGTTGCCGAGGAAACATTCAACTACTGCTCTGGTATGTGTTTTGAATCTCTATTTCCTTTATTTATTTTAAAATTTATGATAGGTTTATGATTTTTATTGGTCTTTGTTTTCGCGAAACGGGGCTCTGTTAGGTGAGATCTTAGTTATGCTTGAATTTCAATGCTTTAATCTGTGCTTCCGCTTAGCTAGTTAGCGCTGCTGATAATGTCTCTGTAATATGCATTTGTATTCTAGAATTTGTTTTTCTTTTTACCTGTTATCTTATCTGCGCTTGTGATGCATTTCTCGCTTTTCTTTTAATTTTTCGATTTTTTTCGGTGGTATTCTGAGATATCGAGGATTTTTTGATGCTGGATCTCTTTAGCGCCAGATTATTGTGGCTCGAGTGTTCCAGTTTTTCGTCATTTCTCCGCCTTTTTATTTGGCGGAAGGTAGCTGAATAATTTGAGGAATTGGTTTTAATTAATGTATTTATTTATTACTATTGCAGTATTTTTAAGGAAAATTAAGTCAATTCCTTCAATTTTTGGTTGTTTGGTTTTCATTTGGTATCAGCCAAACAAGCGCAAAGAGGTGTTGGAATTAATTCGTATTTAAGATATTTCAATTCTATGGATCATGTTCTTCAACTTGTGGTCTTATTTCTCTGCTTTTTGTTTTTGGTCTCTGAACTTATTTCTCTGCTTGGATTTGACCTTTTCGTATGCATTTTGGATTGATTTTGGTGAAACCCATATTTTTCTGACATTTCTTGGGACCACACGTAATTTTATGCCGGCAAATTGGCATGCATGCAATTTTTTCTTTGATTGTTAAAGTTAGGTCCTCAAGTGGCTTCATCGTCGTTCCGTAGCTCTAATACTCCTGTGTAGTTTGTCATGTTGGTCTGAAGTTTTCGGGTCGCAAAATTCATTTGCGGAGGTATATCTGAGAAGTCAAGGATGCGCAGAATCCTCTTATTCTCCTCTTAATTTTCCAGAGAATTTGATAAATTAGATTATTTGAGTGACAACATCCTTAATCTCATTTTGAGGTATCTCTTGTTGGTCGCCCATTTTGCGAAACATTTATTTTACACTACCTGTGGCAGCCACACTGTTTTGAATTCTTCTCTTGATATCTTGAATTGTTACATGGCTCCTCCGTTAGGACTCTCTCTCTCTCTCTCTCTCTCTCTCTCTCTCTCTCTCTCTCTCTCGTGGTGGCTATGTCTAGTTTTATAGTTTAATTGTAATTCAGTAAGTAAATGCTTTGTTTAGGGTGTGCATCAGGGCTCTTCCTTGTTTGGAGGACAATTAATGTTCCAATATAGTCCCTTTCCTTTTTCCATCAAATGAAATTAGCAGATGTTTTTTGACCTACCACCTTGTTACTAGACTCACCACAAAGTTGAGTTCCTCACATGTTGGCAAGGGACTTTGTGAAGTTGTCTTCTCCAAGGGGATATTGAGTTCCTATTATTGCATGCAGGTTGACAAGCAATACTAGATATTTTGGGTCTGATGTCTCCACCGCTGTTGGGTGCTGATGGGGAAGGAGAAGGTAAGGTCTCCTTGCTGGCTTCTGCGGCCTCCATGGACTGTGTTTCTCAGAGTAATTCGGGCTTAAAAGAGCGTAATTACCTGGGATTGTCGGATTGTTCCTCAGTGGACAGCTCTGTTATGTCGAACTTGTCAGAGGAGAATAAGAACAATCTGAATATGAAGGCTACAGAGTTGAGGCTTGGTCTTCCTGGATCACAATCCCCTGAACGAGATTCAGAACCTAACATGCTGAGCTCAGGAAACTTTGATGAGAAGCCCTTGTTTCCTTTGCTTCCTTTGAAAGATGGATTTTGCTCAGCATCACAAAAGACTGTTGTTTCTGGCAATAAAAGAGGGTTCTCTGACACCATGGATGAATTCTCGGGCGTGAAAGGTTCTCTGTTTACTGAAGGAAATTGGATGTTTAATGCAGGTGGTTCTAATTCCGATACACATCAATCTGTGGGACAAGGAAAGTTTTCTAGTAATACCGGTATACATGGAATGCAATCATCTAGGTCATCTGTGACTCAGCCTGCCATAATGAAAGATGTGTCCTCAAAGGCATCACAGGAACCGGCTAATGCAACAAATGGGACAAACCATAACAAAATGAATGGTTCTAACAACAACAGCAATGCACCTGCTGCCAAGTAAGTGCAAGCTGCTAAATAAGATAGGTTGTTTGAATTTGAAAAAATACGAGAAATTGTTCTAATTTTACCGGGTTTCCCCCGAAGGAAAAAATAAGACTTTTGATATAGCAAATGTTAGGGAGAGAGAAAAGAGAGTAATCTAAATATGCAGTGACCAGTGATACAATTAGGATCACTAGGCTTATTAATCTTTTGTTACAGGGCACAGGTAGTTGGTTGGCCACCCATAAGATCATTTAGGAAGAATACATTGGCAACCACTTCGAAGAACAATGATGAGGTCGATGGAAAACCTGGTCCTGGTGCTCTATTTGTCAAGGTCAGCATGGACGGTGCTCCATATCTGAGGAAAGTTGATTTGAGAACTTATTCTACATACCAAGAACTGTCTTCGGGTCTTGAGAAGATGTTCAGCTGTTTTACCTTGGGTGAGCTATTATTTTAGATGCTGTTTTGGGTGATGTTGTGGTTAATCATTTGAGTATATCGATGCATGCCTACTAATTACAACAAATATAAGCATTTAATGTTCAGCTTGAATCCAGTTGCTAACAGTTCTGTTGCAATTTCAGGTCAATGTGGATCCCAGGGTGGTCCAGGGAGACAAATGCTGAGTGAGAGCAAGTTGAGGGATCTTCTGCATGGATCAGAGTACGTTCTTACGTACGAGGATAAGGACGGTGACTGGATGCTCGTGGGAGATGTGCCATGGGAGTAAGCATTAATCCACTTAATTTTTTGTTTGCATTATATTTCTGTTCATTGCAGATTGCTTTCCTTTTTGAAGTTTCCAATGGTAATAGAATATAGGCGTGGGAAATTTCAACATTATTTGCTGCCAATTATAGATGCCGAGGCTTGGTTGCAAGTTCAATCACTAATCTATCGAAGAAAACTCTAGCTTGCCCCTTTGTTCATCAATGCTCAATGGGAAGATCAATTTGTTATTTATAGTATTTTCCTTACTGGCGGATTTAAGATTCAGATAAATACTTGGTGATTAGCAGAAGTTAAATTTTTTGTTATGCATACATTATCTTTGCTCATCGGGAGCTATGCAGCCAGGAAGATGCACTAGAGGGGTAACAGGCATTTTGCACATGCACTAACACATTTTATCCTTTGCATTTAGTTATTGCCACCCTCCCATTTTAGGTCTCTTTATTTGTAAAACAACCCTGACATTGTCATCTCAGAGTAATAGGTACACAGTAGGCCTTAAGGTTGTCCTGCTAAATCTGATTGTATACATGTATGTTTGAGGTTCCTAGACAATTAATTTATTATGATAATGTTTCTTTCTTTTCATTGGTCTTAATGAGTCTACATGCTTGATTCATATTATCCTCGTATTTTATTACATCAGAACGTATAAGTTGTGAGACTGTCCATATGGATTTGGATAGGCAGTCTAATGCTTTCATTATAAATTCCTGTTACCCCTCTATTGCATCTTCAAGAATATGTGGCTAAGTTTTATATTGTGTTGCCTGTTGATGAACTTATTCGCTCTTAACAATTTTTATTTTTTGTACCCCATGCAACAAAGTATGTTTTCATGCATCTAACTCTAAATTATCTGTTGCAGGATGTTTATTGATTCATGCAAGAGGCTGAAGATCATGAAGGGCTGTGATGCTATTGGATTGGGTACGTATTACTGATTAGTTGATTCTATTCACCAGTTTTAACAATTGGAAACATTGTCCTTAATATTGGGTATTGAAATCTATATGATTTTTCTTAGAGCATGCTGTGTAAGAACTTTGCGTGGAAATTAAGAAGAACTGTTCGCATGTGCTTCCATTTTATATACCTTGTTGCCTATTGAGGTCATAACTCTCTTTGTAGCTACAAACCATTTGAGGTCATAGCAAATATACGATCATGCAGTCTGGCTTAGATTTGACATTGATTGACTACTTCATGAGCTAATCACTGCAAAGGAAGAAAAAACCTAGAAGGGGACCAAAGCTAGTGGAAATGATGAAGAAATAAATTAGAATAATTGTTACAATGGTAATTATAAAATCTCAGACTCATTTGATGATCAAGTTGGCTCTATAAACAGTATCTTAAAATATGTTTGTTTTTTGATCTGTGACACTAGGCACAAAACTTGGCAATGTCCTGATTACATAGAGAATGTAAAATGAGATAGAGTTCCTTCAGTGGGCATGCTTCCCAGTCCAAAACTGTGAGTTGATAGTGGTTCTCTGCATAGATGTAAGATGATTCCCAATGTGGTCTATCCTACCAGAAGTGTGGCTTCTTTTTTTTTTAACTGTTACAAAGCTTATTATGTGATACTGTTTGTGACTGGGATTCCGTTCCTTGGGACTTTGCACAGTAATTTTACAATATGTTACGTACAATTTTTTTGGGTAAAGTGCCTCGCATACTAGCAATGCCTTGGAAGAAAGAAGGAAAGACTTGTGGTTTTAATCAGTCCAAATGATGATGTCCTTTTTGAAAGACTTTCTTTTTTCTTTTGTCTTGTGCAATTAGATACATCAATTTCGCATCTATCCAATTATAGTTAAAGATTAAATTTTTGTAAGTTAAGTTTCCTTTGGTTTCGTCCCCAGCTCCCAGGGCCATGGAAAAATCCAAGAACAAGAACTAGCTTCTGTCTGGGCATGGTGACTGCTTTCCAGCTGGTTTGCCCCAAGTGGAAAAGATTTCATGGGGAATCTAGAAAACGGAGGAAGGTTTGATGGTCGAACAAACAAAATAGCGTGTGGCTTCGGCTGGACAGCAGATCATGGTTTAGATGCCTGCTTGTCTTATCTGGGTTTTGATTGCATGGAAGAGTTCACTTCTCTGTTTATTCAAGTCTATGATTATTATAGGGTTTCGTTTCCATATGAAAAATGTTTTATGTTTGTGGAATTCGTGATAGTTTATAGGATCCGTGAAGTGTTTTGGATTTGATGAACGTGTGATGAAAACCCTGTTAAAAAGTATGCTTTGTTACCAACTGCTATTGTGACANCCATATGAAAAATGTTTTATGTTTGTGGAATTCGTGATAGTTTATAGGATCCGTGAACTGTTTTGGATTTGATGAACGTGTGATGAAAACCCTGTTAAAAAGTATGCTTTGTTACCAACTGCTATTGTGACATCTCTGTGATGATTGATTGTGTTATTGTTGTTGTGATTTGGAGGTTCTGTAGCTTCTTTCATTAGCTTTTCTGATGTCTTGTAAAAAATTATAGAATGTGGTTTTGATGAAATATGCATTGGAAATGTCTTAAAGAAATAATTCAGAAGGTTAAAACCCCTTGGTTTTTCAAACATTATTTTTCTTGTTCTCTTTTGTGGAACCAAGCATCACCTAAACACCAAGGTGTGAGTAGTTTAATTATTTTCTTCTATTATTAACAAATGTTCTTTCGAGATCTACTCTAAAAGTTTAAATTGTTAAAAATATATAATTTTAAAAATTAAATTTTGGGTCTATTACATAAATTTTTAAAATTTTTTGGAATAGATGTGAGATTTGAATACAAGATCTTTTGTTTTGATACTATATTAAATAATCATCTATTTTGATACCATATAACTTTAATATTTGTACTTCTTAACATAGGTGGGCAAGTTTCATATGAATTCCCTCGGTCCGGAGTTTCTGATTCTCCAGAGTAATTGGTGGTCGCTGCTATGTATATCTTGGCCCCCTTGAGTTTGGGTGTGTATTCCACATTTAGTATTTGAGTTAAGAAATAGTTTCAACAAAACAAAGCATACAACGCCCAAGTTTACTCAGAAGAATCAGTTGGGTACCAAGTAGAAGGGGGACAAAAGTGAGATCGAAAGTCAGGTCTCAAAAAGAGAGATAGGTTTTTTTTTTTTTTTTTTTTGGGTAATGATATGTATCTCAAATTTATAATTTAAATTTGTATTCCAAATCAAAGAGGATTATTAGATAAGTGGTTCTATTAAATTTTTTAAATGAGGAAACACTAATCCAATGGTGCTCCTTGATTTAGGATACAAATTTAAATTATAAATTTAAAATACATAGCACTACTCTTTTTTTTTTTTTTTCGATTCTTTCATGTTCGTAGACACGTCTGTGGCTGCATTAATTGGGCCATTGTGGGCGTAAATATAGATAAGGTGGAATAACATGGTCTCCATTTATTCAAGTCCTAACTTTAATAAATAATAGTGGCACTAAATGCACAATTTAAATCGGTGCACCGGCTATCAAAAGGTGAGGGGCTACACTACCCCCCGCGATATGATATTAAAAATTATAATTTTTTAAAATTAAGTTATAATTTTTTTGAAAGTATAAATTATAATTTAAAGAGCATAATGTATCATGGAAGTTTGGATGGATATCAAAATTATAATTTTTAAAAATTAAATTTTAATTTTTAAATATTAATTTATAACTCATAAAACAGAATTTATAAATGTGCAAAAAAATTCCTGAATCATGATTTTTCCAAGGTCGGTTTATAACTTTTCCTTTTTAGTGTAATTTTACCACAAAAAATTATAACCCGTATAATACCCTGTTTTTATTTCAGGTAGAGTTTCCCGTCAAAAGGAGGCAAATTATGGTGTTCTCGATGTACTTTCATGGCGGCAAGTGCCATTAAGGCATCGAGCCCCTTCGATTCTAGTTTGAGCCTGTTGAGTGAAAAAAAATGGCCCACTGCACAAGAGTCTCGTCAGTCGTCACGACGAGGTTTGAGTAACTTCAAATTTGATCAAATCCTGTGAATGTTGTTAGAGAATATAATGCACTGCTAGATCCTAAAATCAAGTCTTCTGATTTTTATTACTTTTTTTGCTTCTCCTTTCCTATTTAGATTATTATGCCTGCCAATTTTATGCTAAAAGTCCCATTAGAAATTGACAGAAAAGGGGAAGAGCATTGAAATACATGATACTGTGAAAAAAACCAATAAAATTCAAATTAGTGGGTGTCTTGACTGTAAAGTACTTGAATGAATCCCCCCTTTTGCAGCTAGGAAATTTTCTAGTTTCAATTTGAAATGGGATCCTTGTGAGTGGGCTCTACAGTAACATATATATGTGTATGTTGTCATTGTGCTTTTGGGCACATATCTTCGGCAAGCGCAGCTGTATATAGCCATCAAACGACGAATCATCTCAACCCAACAAGATGCATTGCTTCCTATAATCAAATCTTATATTTGCTGTTAATCCCTCTTCATCTGCTACATTTGGTATGATGATGATTCACACTTTTATTGTAGTGCCTTTTGTTATTTTGTTGTGCTAGGTTGACTCTTATATTTGGCTAGTACTGTTAGCTCTGGGATGCGTGCTATTGGCTTGTGCCTCATTAGTGATGTTGGCAGAATGGTTGTGGCGTTGAATCATTCTCTGATCAGTGGATGCTTAATCATATTACCAACTACATTAAACAATTGCTCAACTAATGTTTGATTATCATGTTTCCTTGCATTTAATCATGTAAGAATTGAATTGCATTGAGAGCTGTCTCTGTCAAAGGAATCACAAACCCCTTATCTAAGAGTATCTCTGACAATCTTATTTCCAATCATTGAATTTGGACAGTTAGTGGAATCCCTCTAGTCATAAAGAGTTTATTTATTATGGTGGGTGGGATGGGATGGAGTTGGTTTGTTTTTTTTCCCGGCTGAAGAAGAAGAGGGGGGGTTTCCTATCTTCAAACTAATCATTCTCTTTTTGGGTTTTGTTGTTTACTGCTGCATTTTGTGTGCATCTATTGTGAAGATGAATAGTTTTGTTTTTTAATCTCTAAATTTTGACCTTGTTTAATAGTTTTAATCGGACTTTAGCACTCAATTTTCTTTTTGTCTTCTTGGTTTTGGTGGAAAATGTGGTGTAAGAACACCAAGTCAGAAGAACTTAATGGAGCAGGTCCTCTACAATCAAGATGGTAATCATTCATTTTTTGTCTGTATTTGGGAGGAGGATGACTTTGTGTGTTGAGGTTTAAAAATTATGTTGATGGAAATTGGATTCGGTGTTGAGAATCATAATAAGAACTTCAGAAATAAGTAAGATGATAATTGGAGTTGGTAATGAGTTTAGCTGTAACGATTAATCAAGTAGTGAAGCTGGATTGGAATATGTCTGCTCAGAAGAATTCTGGCATTTATCACCTTTGAGACTAATTGAACATTCATCAACCCTATTCCAACTGTTGAAGTCTTCTAAAGATTGGCAGTCTAGGAGTCTGTAGAAGGTTAGATGTACAGAGCCTTAATACGGCAAACATATTTCTGTATTATTTGTTGTGATGGCTGGTTAGCTACAAATACTAGCATGCGTACGTATACAATGTGTGTGTGTAAAGTAAGCTGAAGCTAGAGTTCTTTCAGAACTTGATCTTCCTGATCTCACTTTTCCCATGGTCATATGGTTATTAGTCCACTGAGAGTCCATGGAAATGTGGAGTTCTTGGAAAATATTATGGAAGATAATCTTCAGGTGACCAAAACAATTAAATGGGCAAACAAAACATATCATCTTAACAACAGAATCATTTTCCAGAAGCATGTGCACTCATCTCAACTTTTTGTGTCAAGTGATTAGGCACCTTGCCAATGGCAAGTGTTCATCCTCCTAAGTGATGTGTTGTGGGTTCGATTCGAGAAATCAATTCCTGCCTAAATGTCCTTGCATTCAATCCTCCAAAAAGTACATAATTAAAGTAGTGGCTAAATGTTGCTCAAACTGTTTTATGACAATTCATTGTCACTAGTTCTGTAACACCTCATGATAATTGCTTGGCAAATGCAAGTGTCAAGAAAGTGGCCCTGCATCAATGGATAATTGAAGATTCGTCTTTTTATTAATCTCATTGGTCTATCTTAGCATGCTGCTGTATTTTGACTTTTTCCAGAGAAAAAAAAATTGTTTCTGAATGACCATTAAATGTGTGTTGTGGGGATACCATTTCGTTTTCTTTGCAGCTGGCATACTATGTTTAGAATTCAGATCTGAAAGCGATAAAAAATGTGTTCATCCAAGGTCGGATCTGGAGCAATAACAAGTGTTCATCCATCTAAGCAATATGTCCCAGGTTTTAGTTCGGGCATCACTGCCTACCACTTACTTCTCTTGGATTCCGTTACAGACAGGGAGCCTTGTGTACTAAATACGACCTGTTTTTACACTTGTTTACTATACTCTTAGAAGGTAATTAACTCTTGTTAAAATATCTGCTTCATTTGGTATACTGATGTAGGACTATTGATAAGGCCATATCCAAGATTGAAAAGAAAATTTCTCCATCATTACCTACCAGGATTGACCACAATTAATCATTTCGAGTGCTCTAAGATGTTTCAGCATCAAAGGTTTGTTTATAATCTAGTGTCCTCCACAAAAAATGGCTCTCTCCTAGTGGACCTTGTTTTGGAAAGAGATCAAGCATTCCCCACCCCCATTGCATTGATTATGTGCATGAATACCTCTAATCAAATGCTATTGTCCCTACACTTATGTGCCTTAAATTGCCACATTGCATGGTTCCACACCAATCGTTGCTCCAAAACAGAGTAACGGCCACAAAACTGTGAGTGGTTCTATATCCTTCCTTGTAATTCACTTATACTACTCATGCGACTGTGAC